GGGGGGGGGGTTGCCTTTGCCTTTCTCTGAGGCTGAGAGAGTAAGGACTTTATCACATAAAATCTGACTGCTCCCTAACAGGATACAGTCAGGTTGTGGGTTACTACCAGGTATTATTGCATGCAAATTGTCACTGCTGCCGCCGGGCGAGTACAACCTGGCTACATCCCGGGTCCCAGGCACACTTCAGAGGTTGCTTTTCCAACTTGACTGTATCCTGTTGGGGAGCAATTGGATTTTATGCCAATGCGATAAAGTCCTATAACTTGTCCCAGGCCACCCAGTGGGTTTCATGGCTGAACAGGGATTCAACCTCTGATCTCCAGAGTCATAATCCAATACTCAAACCACTACACCACATTGTGCTTTCTGTTTATCTGCTCTGACTCTCCCACTGTTCAGCTTCAGTGGATAACTCTGGATTCAAGTATTGTAAGAGAAAGAGAGAGAAGTAAAAATGTGAACTTTAACTGAAGACTGCTACATTTTCAAAAAGCTGTTAAATGCTCCCAGTACTGTTCCTAATTCTGTGACAGGAAGGCAGGCTTTCTGTTGACTCTGCAATACCATTATGTTCTTTCTTGGTTGCATGAGTCTTTTAGCATACAGGAACAGAAATGTGGGTTCCATCTGTAAGCCCAAACAATTTCTTGAGAGGAAACCCGTGTGGGTTTCATCAGTGCATGGAAGGCAGAACAATGGATCGGCTCTTGCTTTCCCACATGAAGCACATTCTGGAAGAGCTTCCACAGGGAACATCTGTTCAGCACATGTATCATGTCTACCACATGAAGGTACAAAAACTGCAAGAATGGGATTTCAGTGCTTGGCTATCACCACGTATGTACTAATCTTATAACTTTGCTAATCTGTCATGCCAGCAGCAGTATCCACCTGGAACATCAACTCCTTATGCAACCATTAAAAAGGCAGGAGACTCATTTCTCTTTTCACCTGTATTTTATGACCTGTTCTGATAGATCTCAGCTAATGCTTTGCTTCTTAATTATATATTCATTATGTATACTTCATTCACACACACACGCACACACACACGCACACTTTGCAAAAAGGAACTTGTGACACAAGCTGTTTTCAGATTCCTGAAGAAGTAACACTTATGACTTTGTTTTGTGGAATGTAATGGCATTTCATCCAGTTTATTTACTATGCTTCATTGCATTTATAATTTTCCCCTTAAATTAACTCCTTTCCCTCAACTGCTTCACTTCCATTTATGTTTAATAAACCAATTGGCAGTTTCAAATTCATTTTCACTACTACAGTCCAAGAGGTGGGATGGAGTGACAGCAATCAGGATATATATATCTTTTTCAATGGCCACTGAACAATTTTTTTAAAAAAAGAATTACACTATCAAATTGGCATTCATAGACAAAGGGCTGATTTCCATCAAACCCAACAGTCTCATTGTCATAGGATGGTTGCATTATGCCCATGAGTTCAAATTCCACCTCAACCTACTTAAATCATTTAGTACACATTTTCCAAACTACAATATTGATGCCATGGAAAACATAGTTTGAACTACAGTCAAACTAAAAACCCACACTAACCCAGATGTTCTCAATCGCACAGTTCAATGTTGGTTAAATCAATGCTCACTCCTATGCTGTCAAGCCACTAGGCCTAAGGAGCTTTCTCTCATATCCTCCCAGAGAACTTTTGTTGATTTGCAATATATGGAATATTCAGTGGGCCCACCATATTGGAGGGCTAGCCATCCATTGATTCAAGTTCCAACAGATTGGATCACCCCATATTAGTCAATGGCAGCTTATGCCCATGGGCGCACTGATGCAGGCGTACAACCCATTGACTAACATAGGCTTGTGTTTCTGCACTTTTCATTATCCACAGGGAGAGTCCCTGGAACCAAACCTCCATGGATGGGAAGGGCCCACTGTATACATAGAGACTAGCATGTTATACTTGAGTTATAGATGTTTACGCTGGTGGAAGACTGAGTCCACAGAGAACTTACACAGAACTCTGAGCACTGTCCTAGAGGCTACTGGGCCCATAACCCTTGTTAGCTCAACTAGTTAGAAGACTGAGTCCACATGCAGAAGATTTACAGCCAGGTAACAAACTCCACTGCAGAGTATGGAAGTAGTGTAGAAACTCTTTCAACCAAACAGAGTCTTACTGATGCTGCTGAGGTTCTTCCGAAGAGGCTTTTAATCTTAGGGCCTATACAGACTGCCAGAAATAGTGCAAATTGAGGCCACTTTAACTATCCTGGCTCAGTGCTAAGGAATCATGGGAACTATATTTTATTGTGGCACCAGAGCTCTCTGGCAGAGAAGGTTCAATGTCCCAGAAAAACAACAACACATTTCCCATGATTCCCTAGCACTGAGCCAGGACAGTTAAAGTGGCCTCAAGCTGCACTATTTCTGGCAGTCCGTAAAGGCTCTTAGTTGCAGCAAATATTTACAAGCCCGATACAGCAATATTTACATCATCTGACATAATGCTCCACTACCATTCGACATCCACTTAACCACAATGCACTGGGACATTCTTCTTTATATACACAAACTCTGGCTAGGATTCTGATATAACCTCCTGCCAGTGTTTCATCATTTTCCTGTCACATGTCCACAGTGACTGTGCAGTTTTGAACTATTATCACACAACTTCCTGCTGAAGTTTCATCAGCTTCCTCTGAGTCAGCTTTTCACCTTTGTTCACACTCATCTTTGCACAAACTGAGCTCAGGGCACCTTTCACCTTTGTTCCACATTGCATACATCTGGAACATTTTACAGTCTGAGGCAAATTCTCACTGACAATAGATTCATAACCTAGGGTATTCACAATCATGGCATTTTTGCATTGATAATAAATGTCCCTTGAATCCTACCTCAAACTCCAAGGAGCTGCCCTGGATGATGGAGATCTGTACTTCTGGTGACTGGGGCACCACAGGATGGCATTTCCAGACACCTCCTGCCTTCAGATGAGACACAAACTCATCAGCAAGACCACTGTCCCAGTTCTTCATCTCACTGAAGATTGCTGGTGGGAGGAGGCTGGAAATGTTATCCTGCAATGTCCCAATTGCCATCAGAACAGACCTCCATCACTTGGAGAAGTTGCTGGATGTTAAAGTAGGTTTGAGAAGTCAGGCCTTGAGATGATACTTATTTATGCATTCGTAACAAACTCAGTGATGTAGGATCTTAGACAATGTTAATAAATAAACAAAATCCTTAGAACTTCAGTGTACCTTTATTCCATAACTACCAACTTTTCCACTTTTGGCTACAGGACTACGAAATTGATTCTCTGCACTCTGGTTACTAGCACAGATATGTATGCATGTATGTCAACCTTTCCAATTTGGCACCTCCCCCCAAATGTTCCATTGTCCCAAGATAATGTGGCCATGTTGATGTAGGGTAGTGAAATATAATCCAGCACATTGTGCAGGTGCTAATTTGTGGGAAAATCAATGGTGTCTGTGTCATCTCACCCAACTCCTGCAATTTCCAGTCTTCACTTTGTGACTTCAGATACAGAACTTGGGGACATTATCCAATCTAAAACAGAACTATGTTTTTCAACAACAAATGGGTCAGATTCAGCTTTGGAAATTTCCAGTCAACTTGGGTAGCACAAGTTTGCAGATCTTTGGATTCACCTCTGAACTACCCAGCCTTTCTGATTCTACTGCTGGAAAATGAACTTGAAAGGAAATTCACGCAATGCTTCCATCCCAGCCAGAAATACCACCAGAATAGGACAACTGCTTTGGGAGATGATCCCAGCTGTAAACAAGAAATGCAGAACTGTGTGCGGATGAGAAAGCCTGTCCCTAAGAATACTCTGTTCACCAATCAATATTCTGTGCTACACTGGTGTATGTGGGAGTTCAAACAATAAATGAATTTTCAAGTATTTCATCTGTTTGTTCCCACATGATAATAACAGCTGGACAACTTATATCATTGTATTTTTGTGCAACTAAATCAGAAAGATGTCAGAGCCTATTAAAATCTATTGCCGTTATCTTCTGCACATTGGCTACTATCCAGGGAAATGTGTGCATAGATGTAGATCCTGTACATTCAAAATGATTCACACTGCTGGACCTCCTATTTCTACCTCCTGGACTTCTCCTCTTCTTTGTGAAGTACAGTTGGTTGGAACCATGGGTCTCTTTTGGGTAGCTGTACAGTCATTTGTGTATGCTCTTGGCCCTAGCACTTTGACATCCAGGTAATAACAGTAGACAAGAAAGCAGCTTTTTTAAAAAACTGTTTGGGAAAGGGATGCACAACCTGAGGGGCTGCATGTCCTTGGTTGCTCTCTCTGAATCCCCTAAAGCTGAACAGTCCCCACCTTCAGGGGATCAACTGAGCTGCACAAAGTGTTGGTCAGTTCTGTTTCTTGGCTTCTGAGATGACCATTCAGCATATAGATACTGATGGGTGATTTCATAGACCTTCACTTCCACTTTGTCTGTGCCCAGTCCCTAGATCTTGAAGGGTAAACAGGGGAAGTTTAAAATTCCCTGTCTCTAAGCATGGGGGATATGTGTAAGTTTAAGATCTCTGCACATTTCAAGAGCTTAGATTGAGATATAAGTTATAACATTTTAAAGAAAGAAGTAATCTGTGATGTTGGCACCTTTACCGTTATTCTTAATTTTACACTTTTCTTGATAAACTCAGTTGTTGGCTCAGTGTCACAGCACAAAAGGGTTAGTACAAAGAGTTAAGGGACACTCTGATGTGATGATCACCAGAGTCATCCTTGCCCAGTGTGGGTGCTCTGATTAATATGATGCAGTTATGCCCTTTATTCTGTGAGTTGCCCTATGAATGACAATTTCTCACAAAATAGTTCAGAAAGTAGCCACCAGCAGGATGCAGGAAACAATGATGACAACATTAAAGTTTCAACTGCAGTGACACAGTGGATAGGAAGTGCAGGAGAACACATCTTCAGGCCTTTTTTTCAGAGCAGCAATGGTCAAATCATCCGCTGGCACACCAGAGGGATTGATAGATCCTCCTTGGTGAGTGAATGAATAATAACAAGGCTTTCATGTTTTACTATTGTTTGTGACAAGGTAGCATGGAGGAAGCCAAAGAACAAGGACAGTAATCAAGTATAAGTTTTGATACCTTTTTCTTTTTCTCTATTGGGATTCCTACTTCAAGCAAGAGTTTAAACAGTAACACTAATTTGTAAGATTATTGCAATACAACTTGATGACTATAGATTCTTTTGGGGGTTATAGCTATGGAAGCAGTTCTGATAAGCCCTAAACATGAACATAAATTAATTAAGCTTGTACTTCATTTTCTTCTGGGGTGGTAGCTAAAGTGACTTTACCACTATTTGACTGATGATTTGTTCCTACTTGGTTTCATGGGTGTGTAAAAATGCTAGTGCTGATCTTAAGTCATACACAGCCTTGGTCCAGTGCCCTAAGGATTTCTTTCTCTTATATGAACCTATCTGTATTTCAGGATTTTGCTTGGAGGTCCTGCTCAGGTCTCCTGAAAGCTCTAGTATGGTAGTGCTGCCTCTGCTGTCAGTAAAATTATGTGTACATGCATTGACCAGTATCTCATATCAGCTTTGTTTTGGTGTGCCTTCAAGTCATTTCTGACTGATGGCAACCCTAAGACAACCCCTATCATGGAGTTTTCTTGGCAAGACTTATTCAGAGGGGGCTTGCCTTTGCCTCTTTCTGAGGCTGAGAGAGTGTCACCTGCCTAAGGTCACTCAGTAGGTTTCCATGGCTGAGCAAGGATTTGAACTTTAGTCTCCAGAGTTATAGTCCAGCGTTCATACCACAACATCACACTGGCTCTCTTGGATCAATTTATCAGTTTATATGTAACAAAGTTCTTAACTAAAAAGTAACTTCTTCTGGCCTGACCCCCCCCCCCAACCTGATAGAAATGTTATTCAGCCATGCTCTGATCATAAGCAGAATAGTCCTCCTTTTCCCTATGCAGCTGATGTCTGGTAAAGGAAGTTGGGGGGAAGTTAGACAACTATTTTGTATTCACAATCAGTGTGTAGTCATGATTTTGACACTATTGCCATGACTGTAACTCTCCCTTTAACTTAAGTATAAGCTGATACAGGATTCCAGCCATAATTTTTTTTATTAAAAGAAATCACTTCCCACAGTCAAAACCTACCCCTTTATTCTCAATACAACAGTGAGTTTTAGCCTTAAGCTATAAATTAAGAACAGACTGCTGTGGCTCCCACACAGAGCATCTCTCTTGAACCTAACAAGCATTTGTGATAATTAAAACAGGAAGTTTTGAGGGTGGATCTTTTTTGCACCTTTGCTTTTTGTTTTATATGGCACTACTTCTTTTTGTTTTATCTATTTATCTAGCTATATGGCATCAAATCTCTGGAGATGATTAGAAAGATCATGCTGTGTGTTGCTGAAGAAGGCAGACCCAATTCTGATACATTCCCTAGAAAAGCTAAAGGAGAAAAGAAAAAGATAGGTGTCCAGATGGCCATGTGGCTGCCCAGCATAGTGTACGATGGGAAAGAATGTTATTCAGCTACAGCAACAGAGGAATTCCTATCTTGCCATGGTTGATTTGGGCTGGTCCAGGTCAGCCAAAAGTCAGCTGGGTTGAGATTGTATTTTTCTTCCAGTTGACCTCAAAACCCACCCAAGTCAGACATGTGAGAAAATAACAAGTTGCTTTGTGCTGAGTCAGAAAATTGGCACATCCAATTCCATGAAGGAAACTCCCTCCAGAAGAAGATGATACACTGAAGAGGGAAAAGATTAGTCAAGGCCGCTTTCTCATGGTGCACCCACAGGAGAGCCAATGCCCAGCAAGGTTGGCACTGCTGCTACTCAGAGTGAGGGTATTATCTTGGGAGATGATGCAGGGTGTCATGAAAAGACTGCAATCAGGGTTTTCTCACCCACATTTAATTTATTATTACTGTGTTTTTATCCTCAGGGAGAAAACATACAGGGATTTTCTTCTTTAGGTGCCAAAGTAATTTGGGCAGCCTTGTGTGCAATGCAGCTTGACTGGTGTGTGTGTGTGTTTCTGCATACCTCTGTTATTGCTGGTCTGCTTCAATCAGCAAAATGTCTTGGGTTGTCCTTAATACCCAGGCATCAAGACTTAAGTGCTCCCCTGCCCAAGGGAGGTATTCTTCCTTGTAACATTACAACTGGGAAAGAGGGACAATATTTTAAATCAATCAGGTCCTTTTGATCTTGCTTAAGAATGAATCTCAATCACCCACCTAATGTATCTTACATGTGTAGAAATTGGAGAAGCCAGTGGTTTTTGTCTTCTCAGTGGCAAAAACTCCTTCCTTCACATTTCTTCAAACTCCTGCCCGTTTGCACCAGGGAAAGCAACCAAGCCAAATAAGCTACATTCATTTCCTGGGTGCTATAGCTTTACAGTGCAATTGCACACCTTGCTCCTGGTTTAGGTTCCACAACTTAAGTTTGGCTGTGTTTCTGCTGGTTTTATGAGTATTCTTGTAGCTTACTGAAGCTTCTTCTTGTTTCCTTAAGTAGGAGAGAAGGGGTGGTCACTACTGCAGAAATGATCTGTAGGTTACTTTCCAAAATGCTGTTCACCTTAATTAGCTGTGCATTTTGTGTAGTAACATTTTCAGCTTTTCTCCCTTAGACCCTTTAATTTTAGTGTGGATGTGTGTGTGTGTGTGTGTGTGGGGGGGTTGTATGGCCTTCCAGAAGTTGTTGGACAACTTGTAGTACTGTTAGTTATGGTGGCTAGAGCAGCTGGGAGTTGCAGTCCAACAACATTTGGAAGGCCCAATGACTCCAAACCTTGTGTTGGAGGGTTCCAATCTGACTGACACATGGATTATCACTATAGCTCTCAAGTGGCACAGTGGTTAAATGTACTATACTGCAGCCACTCACTCATAGACCACAAGGTTGCAAGTTCAATACTAGCCAGAGCTCAGGCTAGATTCAGGCCTGCATCCTTCCGAGGTCACTAAAATGAGTACCCAACTGTTGAGGGGCAATGAGCTTACAGTTGTAAACCGCTTAGACATCCCATAGTGCAATATGAAGCAGTATATAAAATGAAGCTGCTTGGAGAAGGAGAGGAAGGGAGGAAGTCTCCCTCTGATGTTGCACTAGCAGTAAGGAAGGTGCTGAAGCCTGTGTACTTTCTGCATCATCTGGCAATGCCTGCATGCGCTTGATCCTTACACCATTTGAATCACTCCTGCTGCAAGGAGGGTGAAACTGGTGTGGAGACAAGTCATATTGTGGCCTTATCCTGGAACAGAGCCAGTGCAAGAAATATTGCCATCTGAGTCAGAACAGTAAATGTCTCTCCTCTAGACAAAGTTAAGGTACCCAGTACCCAAGGCCAATGACAGTGCTTGGAATGTGTCACATTATGTGACAATACAAGAAGCTCGAGTCAATAACACTTGGCTGACTGTGAAACCAATATCATCATCATCATCATCATCATCTTGCACATTTCTGCCCTTTCAACTGGCTGATGATCATGAAGCTTTTGATTACTAAAGTATTTCTTATAGAAGGACACATTCTACAGTGATTTGCATTGCGCTTCATGTTAGAGTAGTGGGCAGATTCATAATATGTATACTCTGGATCTCTTCCCTTTAGGAATTCTAGGGGAATGGGAATTCCTCCTCTGCCTTTTCTGAAACACAGTATTTCCATTAGATTCTCTGGGGCCTCCTTTGACAAGCTGCTGTTCTGACAACTTGGCTTATCTGTTCTAAAGCACAGCTGCTGCTGTTGCCAATGTTTCAGTGATGGTGATCACCTCCCTGTCTCTAGGACTTTGTGTGAGTTCTCTAAAAGGCCATTGCCTCAAGCTGAAGTAGACAGAAGGTAGAGTCAATTAAAGTTTGGGAAAGTTATTTTACAAAAAAAGTTCAGTTTTCAAAACCACCAAACCATGTATGGCCATTCTGTGAATACAAAAAACAACTTTTCCAACCCCTGGAGTTGGTGATGGCTTTGGAGAGTAGTCTCCTTTGGGGTTAAGGGAACAGTACTGGAGCCTTTACTCCAGTGGAGATCCTTCCTATCCAAAGGTGATGGAGTGTAAAGATTCATCAGTGTATTTACAGTGAGGTTGAAGGTGAAGAGAGGTCAATGAAGAGGGAGAGTGAAAGCAGACAATACTAATGCAAGGAGCAGTAGAACTGGATTTTTGGGCACTGTCTGCTAATCACTCTACAGCCTGGCAATACTACTGCATAAAGAGGTACTGAAAACTTCTTGCCACAAGATATATATTAAAATGTTACTCTACTGCAACATGTTATTACACCAACATAAGTCTGTGAGAGGATACCTGCTGCAATGCTAGCACAATAACCATACATCTAGTGTAGTTTTCCCTTTATATAAAAGGGAAGGGGTAACTCTAGAGGCCTCTGCCTCACTTCTGAGCTTAAGCAAAGTGCTACATCAATAGCAACACTCCAAGATCAGTCAGTGCGACCTTGCCATTCTTATGTAAAGGATCAGGCTTTGGGGGAACAGAAATGTACAAGAAAGTTATAGTGGGAACGGAACTTTGTTACCTTTACAAATCTCCCCTTTAACCCTAAATCATTGTGCTCACCAAAATATTTCCCTTTCATTATATACAGGGTGACTGGGGTTAATGTGAGTAAATTTCCATATGTTTTGGGCAGCTTATTTTTCTAATTAGAACACACACCCATAATAATAACAATTACAAACCCCAAACTGCTCAGCCTAACCCCTTTTCCCAGCCACCCCCTTCAGTAATATGTAGCCAACTGGCTCTGAACCAGAAGTGCTATTCCCCTATAGAGACTTTACAACATTTATTCATAACATGGATCACCAGCAAATGCCTCCAATCCTCCAGTTCCCTATGCATTAATGAACATCTGCTAGCATTTCTTGCAAGTTCAAGGACTTTGTGGGTAGGCTGGAAATAGCGGACATAATTTCTCTCCAAAGAAAGGGGAGGGATGGGGTGTGTGTAAAAGAAGCAATTTTGGGAGGGGGGAGGCCTTGACTTAATCTGCTCTGGTTTGCATCAGGGTCTGTGACATTTCCTTCTACATTACAGTGCATTTGATATTACTCCCACTGAAAAATGCATATTTATCAACAGTTAAATTGAAAACCCATGTAGATTTTCCATCCCACTGTGACTAGATCTGCAGGGAAATGTGAGATCTAGTATTGGATCTCAAAAGCAGAGTGATCAAATTGGCACATCAGAAGCTGAACAACAACTGGTTCAACATTCACCCACAGAGTAGCAGAGAAACAAGCCCAATTTTCTTTGTAAAAACCAAAATACAAGTAACTTTACTTATAAATTACTTGTGCACAGTCAAAAACTTGTGCCCTTATGGAGAAGTGCAAGAGAAGATTAAAAAGGCTGCCGGTTAGAGTGAAGTAGGAAGAGGATGGATGAGGTAAAGCAAACAAACTGGAAATCAGCAAATATGCAAACCAGGAATTGGTGGCTATAAGCAGGCAGATATTGTTAACTTTAACCATGTTTTGTAAGTGAGAGCTAATGTAGAAGTTGAATAAAACTGAAAATGAGATGTTCCTGGCTTAAAATTCTACTAGCGTATGAACTTACTAGATAGTTAGGTACCTGAGAACCTTCCATTCTCTAGCTTGGAACTGTTTATTCTGACTCTTACTGTCTCTGCATCATTTAAAACACCATGAACGGCATCCAGTGTCATTCAAATGGTATTAAGAGCAGTGTTCTAGTTGTACTGGTTTGGGGCAGGGTGGGGGGGGGGAGCTCCATCAGGCACTAACTCTCTGCTGGACTTA